TTGAGCCCAGGAGCTGGAGGTTGCTGTGAGCTAGGCTGATGCCACAGCACTAGCCTGGACAACAGAGTGAGACTCTGTCTCAAAAAAAAAAAGGCTGAACTATATATGGAGGCTTGAACACGTACTCGGAATCCCATCTAACTGAGTGCTGTTCTCAGTGCTCTGCTTTCCCTACCCGGCTCAGGAATTTGGTGCCTTCTTTGGTCTTGAAACGTGAGTCTCTAGCTTGTCAAAAAGTTCTTGGCTCCTAACTTGGGCACTTCCCAAGGTGATCTCAAGGTCTCTATCTGATGGTTCATGCCACCAACCAGCTGTATTAGGCCCGATAATTCTTGATTTGTAGACCTGACCAGCCTCAGTGAACCTCTCCACTGAAATGTAGAATGTTGTTTGTGAAACTTCAACTCACTTGAATGGATGGCCTTCTTCTGACTTCTGTACAGCCTGGATGACAGATTTGTAGACCCTGAAGCTGATAGTGACCGAGAGAAGAGCCAGGATGAGGTAAGAAACCACACTGATGACACTGAAAGCTGCCAGGGAAAGCAGCATGATCAGTGTGGTGCCAAAGACAAATCCAGTCTTCTTCGCATCTCGCCAGAAAATCAGATCATGCACTGTCAAAAGAAAAGGGAATATAAAGTATAAGAACACCCACAAGCCACAAGGCCAGGACTGCTCTCTGGTTTTGTCTTGCAGACCTGTGGAGCATCACACTAGCACACAAATACAGGTAACACCCTACATTAAGACAATATGTATATATATATATTTTTTTTAAGAGATGGGATCTTGTTACATTTCCCAGGCTGGCCTCAAACTCCTAGGCTCAAGTAATCCTACCTCAGTCTCCGTAGCAGGGACTATAGGCGCATACCACGATGCCAGGCTAATTTCTTTCTATTTTTAGTAGAGATGGGGTCTCGCTCTTGCTCAGGCTGGTTTCGAACTCCTGAGTTCAAGCAATCCACCCGCCTTGGCCTCCCAGAGTGCTAGGATTACAGGCGTGAGCCACCGCGCCCGGCCTGTTTTGATATTTCTTTATAACAGGAACCATTAATAAACCTGCAACCACGAACACAGGTTCCTGCAGCATCCACTTCAGGGTCTCTGTGGATATTACAGGCTGGACCTTGCAGAGCGAGTGGGACTATGCTGGGAGTACTCTTCGCTCTTATTCTTGCAAATAACTTCAAAGAGCACAGAGACATTGTCCCTGTCATCTTACCAAGAATCAGAAGGGTGATTCCATTAAAAACGGCACCAACATAGGTCATGAGCCACATGAAGACAGCCAGCTGTAGAGGCCAACATTAGAAGGTGAAGCAGGAATAACCATAAGGCAAAAGTCAGGATAATTGACGCTATTCTCCTACAGCTAATGAAGTCTACAATTTTTAGTGATGTCTGGGCATAGATAATTTCAAAATGAAGGTTCCTTCACTTGTGCTATATATTTCAGAGCATGTGAGAGAATTCTGTAGTTCTTTTATTTCCAAAGACAGACTAAGTGTATACTGCTGACAATTATATTACCACTGACCCAATGTTGGTTCCCTAGCAGGGGGTAAGACCTTGTTGAGGCAGAGTCTTGCTCTGTTGAGTGCAGTGGTGTGATTATAGCTCACTGCAACCTCCAACTCCTGGGCTCAAGTGATCCTCCTGCCTCAGCCTCCTGAGTAGCTGGGACTACAGGGGCACCACCACGCCCAGCTAATTTTTCTATTTTTAGTAGAGACGGGGTCTCGCTCTTGCTCAGGCTGGTCTTGAACTCTTGGCCTCAAGTGATCCTCCCGCCTCAGCCTCCCAGAGTGCTAGGCTTACAGATATGAGCCATCATGCCCAGCCCCATTTTTATAGATTGAATGGGACAAACATGTTCATTTGGTCTGATAAAAACCTATATACTGTTTTTCCTCTGAATTATAACCCACTCCCTGGTTTTTCTCAGCCTCATCACCAAAAGCTGTAGAAGCTACTAACCTTCAAGGAGTCAACCAGATCTTCCACCAGAAACAGACGAATAATGAGTTTCAGGGCCCTGTTGATGTGCACCATGGCAGCGTTCACGTAATTATGGAAAGCTTCCGAGGACAGAGTAATGTCTACATCCAGGTAGGCTCTTCCAGAAGAAGAAACAACAGTCACATATTTGACATGGAAGGAAAAGATTTTCTGTTAGCACAGCAGTTCTTTGGAGTGTGACACTGGCCCCCAGGGTGCATTTTAGAAATCTGTATGAGCAATTTTTACTGTCACAGGGTGGGGGGGACACCACTGTCATTTAGTGGGCAGAGGCAAAGATGCCAGATGTCTGCAAAGTGTGGGACAGTCATGCACAATAAAGAATTATCCGGTGTTCTGCATAACTTTTATTGCCTCATTGGATATTCATGAAGGTGAACCTATTTATAATTAAGAGCCCAGAACATATAAAAACAAGGTATTTTTCCATAGTTCTAACACATCCTGAATTTTCTAGAACTGTATTTTGTTTATGCTAAAACTTTACTTTTTTTTTTTTTTTTAACCATTTTAGAAAACCATATTTGTACTGGTGATTATACAGGTAGCGCAAGTATCTGACTACTTCATTATGTTTTTTGGTGTAGCCAGGTCCAATTAAATAGTGACTGAAATACACGTTACTTTATTATAAATGGCTTTCTATTTTATCATACCTTTATATTACAATTATGATCTTTTAATTTTTTTGTTTTTTTAGAGATAAGGTCTCACTATGTTTCCCAGGCTAAGTGTAATGGTTATTCACAGGCATGATTACAGTTCACTGCAGCCTCAAACTCCTGACCTCAAGTGATCCTCCTGCCTCAGACTCCTGAGTAGCTGGAATTATAGGCATGTGCCACCATGCCCAGCTCCACGACCTATTTTCCTGGTAGGTGCCGGGATATCAGGAAAGGTAAGACCACTTTTGCCTTAAGGAGCCTATGGTTTTGTGGGGAAAACAGAAGAGTAACAGACATATCTTTTCTTCCTACTTAAGACAATATTTACTATCAAATATAAAAGTTATAAAATTTCGATGTTGTAATTAGTACAACTTTATAAAACACATTTTATAAATCCCCAATAGTGTCATGCAAAAGAGGGGAAAAACTCATTAAGACATCTGAGCTTGGCTGGGCGTGGTGGCTCACGCCTGTAATCCTAGCTCTCTGGGAGGCCGAGGCAGGCGGATTGTTTGAGCTCAGGAGTTCGAGACCAGCCTGAGCAAGAGCGAGACCCCGTCTCTACTAAAAATCGAAAGAAATTAATCGGACAACTAAAAATATATAGAAAAAATTAGCCGGGCATGGTGGCGTATGCCTGTAGTCCCAGCTACTCAGGAGGCTGAGGCAGAAGGATCACTTGAGCCCAGGAGTTTGAGGTTGCTGTGAGCTAGGCTGATGCCACGGCACTCACTCTAGCCCGGGCAAAAGAGTGAGACTCTGTCTCAAAAAAAAAAAGACATCTGAGCTTGGGGCAAAACAGCAAATTTATTCACTCATTCATTCAACAACTATTGATTTGTCAAAACAAATTTGCAGTAAAATTTTTAAAATGCTACGTATAATTTAAGTCATTCCTTCTACTTTCACCAAGAGAACATACAAGGGGCAGAGCTGCAGCCAGAAACCTGTGCTGTTAAGTCCTGAGAGGTCACAGTGGAGTCTCTTTCTCTATGAGAAAAGAGCTTTCAAAAACTATTATTTGCTAATGTTAAAGTAAAAACGATTTATGGGCTAAGAATTTCAGAGAAAGTGTGAAGAAAATATTAATATATATTAAAGTTACAGCAGAAAAGCTAGAAATTAGATCCTAAAAATATATGACCCACTGACTTTCCTGTGGTATTAAGAAGGAAATCAGTAATGAAACCAAGAGTAAACACACTAAGTTCTGATACTGCCAAGAGCACAGCCTCAACACCATGCTTTCAAAGTCATTTCAAGACTGAACTATAGGCCGGGCATGGTGGCTCACGCCTGTAATCCTAGCACTCTGGGAGGCCAAGGCGGGAGGATTGCTCGAGGTCAGGAGTTCAAGACCAGCCTGAGCAAGAGTGAGACCCCCGTTTCTACTAAAAATAGAAAAAATTAGCCAGCCATGTTGGTGTGCACCTGTAGTCCCAGCCACTCTGGAGGCTTAGGCAGGAGGATTGGTTGAGCCCAGGAGCTGGAGGTTGCTGTGAGCTAGGCTGATGCCACAGCACTAGCCTGGACAACAGAGTGAGACTCTGTCTCAAAAAAAAAAAGGCTGAACTATATATGGAGGCTTGAACACGTACTCGGAATCCCATCTAACTGAGTGCTGTTCTCAGTGCTCTGCTTTCCCTACCCGGCTCAGGAATTTGGTGCCTTCTTTGGTCTTGAAACGTGAGTCTCTAGCTTGTCAAAAAGTTCTTGGCTCCTAACTTGGGCACTTCCCAAGGTGATCTCAAGGTCTCTATCTGATGGTTCATGCCACCAACCAGCTGTATTAGGCCCGATAATTCTTGATTTGTAGACCTGACCAGCCTCAGTGAACCTCTCCACTGAAATGTAGAATGTTGTTTGTGAAACTTCAACTCACTTGAATGGATGGCCTTCTTCTGACTTCTGTACAGCCTGGATGACAGATTTGTAGACCCTGAAGCTGATAGTGACCGAGAGAAGAGCCAGGATGAGGTAAGAAACCACACTGATGACACTGAAAGCTGCCAGGGAAAGCAGCATGATCAGTGTGGTGCCAAAGACAAATCCAGTCTTCTTCGCATCTCGCCAGAAAATCAGATCATGCACTGTCAAAAGAAAAGGGAATATAAAGTATAAGAACACCCACAAGCCACAAGGCCAGGACTGCTCTCTGGTTTTGTCTTGCAGACCTGTGGAGCATCACACTAGCACACAAATACAGGTAACACCCTACATTAAGACAATATGTATATATATATATTTTTTTTAAGAGATGGGATCTTGTTACATTTCCCAGGCTGGCCTCAAACTCCTAGGCTCAAGTAATCCTACCTCAGTCTCCTCAGTAGCTGGGACTACAGGTGAACTCCACCATGCCTAACTCTAAAAGCTCTAAGAGAATCTTATAAATGAAAATCAAATTGTCAGGCGTGATGATTCATGCTATATAAAAGGATCCTCTGCTATACTGATTAGGTTTCAGGATAGGTTTATATAAATTTATGAGCTTATTTCAGCTACAGTGTCATTTACCTTAAATGTTTTGGCAGAAAAAATGATAAACCAAATATGGCAAAATCTTGCTAACTGTTGACAAAATTAAGCAAACCATACCTAGAAACTAGTTGGGTCAACAGACTGTAAAACCAAAGCTAACTTGAAATCCCCAAAATTGGGGGCAAGTAAAAACAGACCAACCTCTGTTAGTGCTAGTTACAATGAAACACCAGTCTCTACGTTAATCCGAAAAGAACTCAGGAGGGATTATGGATAGTGGACCATATTAACTGTCCAAACCACAATACTTTTAAAAATTGAGTGGGGCACTATTAATAATTATGCCAGGAAACAAAACAGGTATAAACCAGGACCATCCTAGGTAACTGGGTCTTATGGCTGGGGACATCCATGCTGGGAAAATCTAAGTTCTTCTACTTAAAGACACCTCCAAAACTCCTAATGACAGCTGCTGGCAAGTACCTCCAATCTAGCAATGATAACTACTTTTTGCATTTCAATCTGTGAAGACTGAAACACTAACAGTCCCATTGGGACTATCCTCCCAGCCTCTTTATTTACAAAGAACAAGGGCTTTGAAGTTGGAGAGACATGAGTTTGAGTCCTGGTAATTGCTAACCATATTACTTTAACCTTTCCAAGCCTCTATTTCCTCATCTGGAAAACAAAGAAAACGGCATCTACTTCCTAGAGTTTTTTTTGGAATATAAAAAGCTAACACACGGAGAATACTTAGCATTGTAAATGACACATAGTAAATACTCAAATTTCAACTATAATCCAAATAAGGTTAACGCAGAAGACTGTGTTTTGGGATAAAATGAACCCGAATCTGACTCAAGTTGACCTGACGGCACCTACTTTTTCCCTATATTCAGCTATAAAATTCTCTTCTGAAACCACTTCTCTGAAGCCTAACCTTGCTAGAGCCAAAGGAACTTAACTTGAAACCAAGAAAACACTAAAAATATGCTGATTGTATAGAAGAAATAATCACTGGTTCAGAGCGATTCCGGCTAAGGGATGTGACACAGTAGGAGAAAGGGGAGGCGTTATGACTCCTCATAGGAAGCCGGGAGTCCCAGGCGGTGATGCTGAGAGAAAGAGCGGGGAGGCAGCGCAGGCTCACCTGATTCAACTGAGACTGAACAGGGGAGCTGAACTACTTAAGAGAGTGAATGCCAAGCAGAATTCCTGCAGTCAGAGTTCCTATGGACCAGAGCAGTTTCAACATAGAATGCTTGGACGGCCAACATCACCAGGAGGGGAACAAACTGATACCATATGCCTCTGGAGGTGATGCACTGCGGAGACAACATCGCTTCTGTGGCATTCCTGCCCAGATCACATGACAGAACACCAGACAAACCTAGATTGAGAAATGTTCTACAAAAAACCAGCCTGTACTCTTCAAAAATATCAGCGGTGTGAAAGACAAAGAAAGGCTGAAGAACTTAATTCTAAGATTAAAGGAGAGTGAGGAGACATAACAATGCGTAAAGGCAAACCGTGATCCTAGACTGGACTCCAGATAAGGGGATAAAATAGCTAGTTTTTTGTTAATCAACAGTTTTTGTTGATTATGTAAAACAAACCAACAAAAATGTTTTTGTTCAAAGGAAACACACTCCTAAGTAGAGGTAAACAGGCAGAATGTTTGCAACCAACTCTCAAATGGTTCAGGGAAAAACATGTATCTACCCAGACAGGGAGGGAGCGATAAAGCGCATGTGGCCAAATATTAACAACTGCTGAACTACAGCGAAGATTATATGGGAGTTTTTTGTATTATGCTTGCGATTCTTCTATGTATTCAAAATATTTGAAAGAGACACAGAGAGAAAAAGAAAGAAAAGCTTAGAGGACAAGGCTGGTGCCCAGAGAAAAGAGGACCTTGATGCATCTAAAGAAGGAAAAAGGAATGATAAAGACAGGCACCTAAATGGCAATTAGAAATTCTACCTTTGTGCAGATTAGAAGTCACCCTGGCCTCATGAACATTACTGCCACCTGCTGGAAAATTGTTGTAAGAAACATTTAAATCTACAATGATAACACATGTGAATGCTGCCCCCTTGATGTGTGCAATCTAATCCAATCTGCAAAACAGTATACAAGGCCCTGGGCTCAGACTCAAAATAAATGATAGAATTATGGTCTGGGCCAGAAGGTGAGGGGATACTGACTGAAAGGGGAACAACAGAGGGACAGCTTGGAAAAGCTGGTTCGATACATCAAACCTCTGGAATGCTCTTCCCCCACCACTTGCCATGGCTTGCTCCCTTCCTTCATTCTGGTCTCGGTTCAGGGCTATCTCCTCAGGGACTGCCCACCCTATCTAATATTCCCTCCTGTCATCACCACTATCCACCCCCTTATCTGGCTTTGTTTTTCTTCAGAGCACTTACCACTTTATTTGTAGCAGGCTCTTTGTATCTATTGTTGAGAGCTTGACATGGGCCAAACTAATGAGCAAAACACAGCAAAACTACAACTTCTATTTGTTTCCTGATAATGCCCCTCAGACTAGCCAAGACTTTGCACATGACTCTGTCGAGTACGGGAGACTAAGGATTCTGAATTCAGAACACCAAAGAAAGGAACCTGGCATGGTCTTTGGAAACTTTTTCCTCTCTGATCCCTTGGGAAAGAGTCAGGAGGATGGAAAAATATGAGGAAAAATTGAGAAATGAAGCAGTTGCCAAAAGTTTAAAATGTGAAGCCACTAGACTTACACTAGCTTTAGTGTTCATTTCATAACCAGGACACCAACAAGAGGGTGCAATGGTTTGCTTCCATGAAATTTTCTTTTTGTTCGTTCTCTTCTACTTGCATTCATCTGTTTCTGCTACCTCAGCACAGTCGTGCACTGCATAACCACATTTCGGTCAACGAAGACTCATATATGATGGTGGTCCCCTATGATTATATTTCCGTATTTTTACTGTACCTTTTTTATGTTTAGATACACAAATACTTACTACTGTGTTACAACAGCCTGCAGTATTGAGTTCAGCAACATGCTGTACAGGTCTGTAGCCTCGGAGCAATAGGCTGTACCATATGGCATAGATGTGTAGTAGGCTACATCATCTAGGTTTATGTAAGTACACTCGATGGTGTTCAGTTCACACAACAAAATCGGCTAAGGACACTTTCTCAGAACGCATCCCCACTGTTAAGCGATGCGTGACTGTATTTTTTAAACCAGGAAATTCCTTATTTTTAAGTGTGCCCTCTTTCCTTCCTTTCCCACCCTTCTCTTGCTTCATAAGTTTTATTAAGTGCCTGTCATGTGCCCCGGAAGTGCTAGACTGGGAATCCAACACAACTGTGAATAAGGCAAACAAGATCCTTACTTACATTCCAGTGGGGAAGAAAGGCAATAAATAATAAAATAAGAGTCACCTGTAACACAGGCCCGTAAAAACGTAAACTCTTTGTGCTGTGGTAAGAATGATTTGTGTGCACACATACACTACTTTAGATAGCTAGGTAGGTGGTCAGAAGAAGCCTCTCTGAGAAGTTGATACGAAAGGTGAGATATGAAGGATGAGAAGGAGCTGGCCACACAAAATGCCAAGGGGAAAGTACTCTAGGCCAGGGGACACACATACAATAACTCTTGGGGGTGGGGTTGGGGCGGAGATTGGCATTGCTTAGGAAAGGTCAGAAGGCCAGTGGGGACGGTACACAGCGAGTGCAGGGGAGAGTGCACGAGAGAAGGTGGGAGACGCTGGGTAGGGCTGGATCACGGAGCACTTTCACAGAGCAATGAGGTAAGGAGCTTGAATTTCACCTCAGGTGCAATGGGGAGTCGCTAAAGAATGTCAAGCAAGGGAGTAGCATGATGTATTGTTTTTTTAAAAAGAATAATACTTTTACTGCTGTATAGAAAATAGACTGGGATGGGGCAAGAGTGCAGGCAGGGAGACCCTCATAGGAAGCTAACATGGAGGTTCCAGCGAGAGATGATGGTCATTCAGATTAGGATGGGGACAGTCAGGATGGAGAGGAATGGGCAGATCTGAGGTATATTTTGGAAGTAGAATAGGCAGAACTTGGTGATTAACTGGATGTGGGAGGTGACAGAGGAGAAGCATAAATGACACCGAAGTTCGGGGCCTGAGCAAACTGACTAATGTGGTATCAAGTACTGAGATGAGGAAGAATGGAGTGCAGAGCGTGTTAACTTTGAGATGCCTAAAGACATCCATTATTAAAGAAGGTGGTTAGATCCACCAGTATGGAGCACATAGGACAAGTCTGAGCTTGAGATAAATGTTTGGAAGTCACTGGCATACAAATAATATTTAAAAGTGATGGAAATGGATGAGGTTACTGGTACTGAAAGAGAATTCTGAGGGACTCTACCATCCAGCAGCTGAGTATAAGGAAACCGAGAGAGATGTACAGGGAAATGGGATAACGAGGAGAGTGTGGTATCACAGAGAGAGAGGAGTGCTCTGAGGAGGAGGAGGTAGAAAACTGGCTCATTCTGCTGAGGTTGAGTAGGAAAAAAGGTGACCCTGGACTTGGCAATATGGAGATATTAATAGTTGGTGACCCAATCAAGACTGTTTTAAGA